CCCCCCCCCCCCCCCCCCCCCATCTCGGTTATTGCACCCAGGTCTTAAATGACATGCTAATAAGCTAGCTAGGAGTCCGGGATCTTCTGCAAAAGAAGTCCAAGTCCAAGCCCAGCCAACAGAGAACGCTCCACTAGAAGTTACTGGGGTTCGCGTCGTGATTAAGATGAGGTCTGTCTTGGCGACACGACAAAACTCCTTCCCAGAAGGATTGAGTCCTACCTTGCTCGTTCTCGTTCTCATGGTTATTGCTTGAAGAAGGGCTGTGTAGCCCTGCACGATGGTTGTGTTCCGTTTCGGATTGATGTGAGTTGTTGCATTCAAGCTGGAGCTCAGCAGCCTCAAATGCTCACCAGAGAGTGAAACAATTCTGTATCAAGATATCCATCCATTGCCATTGCTTTTGCCTAAACCCTGAAAGCTCAACGGCTCTGACTCTCAGCTTTCTCTCCCCGTATCGCCGTGTCTCGGTAGCTTATTCCGCTTATGAGCTGATTTGCTGTGACCTCAATTAATTGGATGTTTTTTCGTATGTATCTGACATGGGCCGCGCCAATGCGTGCATTCGAGGTCCATGTACCTGCTTTTTACCCCTGGCCGGGTTACTATTATCTGCTCGTTATGTGCATCCGTACTCTTTTATGAGCTCGAACGTCGCAAGCTCGGTTAATTCCCTACCTATTCAGATGTACATTCACTGTACAGCCAACGCCATAGAGCTGGGACCACCTGACGCCATTGTCAAGGATATCACCTGTTGATGAGTACGATCATTACTGAGGTGACTGATATTCAGATACAATATCAAGTAAGAAAGTTGGTTACTCTCCTACGGTATCCAATTGCATCCATAGTCTACGTCACAACCATCTCTTCAGTATCCCAGGTACTTTATAGAACATATCGTCAACTATAGTTCAAATAGTACAGAGAATGTTCTGAACAGAAATTAGTTCCAAGGAATCTCCGATCTAAATTTCGGATACGCTTCCCATATTTCTATCAGACTCCGTAGATTAACTACTCCTCTCATCTTAAGTTGTAACGTCGCCTCCCTCTGATCATGGCCAATAGGAAGAATATCTACTTTCATGTAGAGATGATGGTTCTCTAGGTCTGGATGGTAATGGTCGCAGGCCTCATAGTATTACGAGTATTGAGTTGGAAGCGAGCAACAGCTACATCAACGTATCGACTGTGACCGTTCTAACGCCATCAATGAACTGTTGATGCCGCATATCTGCACTATTGACCTTATAGAAAATTAGTAAAAACCTCGTTATCCGTATACCTATCGAATTCCGAATACAGGAGCCAGACCCCTGGAATGATAGCCTTTCACTCGGCACTCAAAGTGGCTTAGAACCTTCCAAAATTGTTCTACGTTTCCAAGTACATTGCTTCTCGTTATATCTATTGACGCTTATAGGAAGATTCGAGATAGTGTTTTACTATGGTTGCACATGTCAAATCAACACCTCTGGTGATACTGGGGGGAACCTAATGCCTCAGAAAACGAAGTCAACTAACTAAGTCACACATTGAATCTCCCTTATTAAACATCCACCTTGAAACTCTCATCTTCATCACAACCACGTTTAAAAATGCAGTCTCTCGAACTCACTCTCATAGTCGCTGCGACTCGTAACATGGGCATCGGCGCCCACGGAGGAATGCCATGGCAAGGCTTGCGCAAGGAGATGAAGTACTTTGCGCGTGTGACGACAAGACTGCCACCACAGGTACTGCTCACCAGCACACATCATAGGCCAAACGAGTATAATAAATGCTCGGGATTGGATAAGAACATACAAGAAACTCTTTCTAACAACCCTCAGGCTCCCTCATCATCTCTTAACGCAGTCATTATGGGCCGCAAAACCTGGGACTCAATCCCCACCAAGTTCCGCCCTCTAAAAGACCGTCTCAACATCGTCATAAGCCGCTCCGCGCCCTCACAGCTGCCCGAGACGGTTGAGGCTTCCGAGCCCGTTAGAGTTCAATCCCTCGAGCTTGCTCTGCAGTACGCTCGAACTCGCAGTGATGTCGGCCGCGTCTTTGTCATTGGCGGTGCACAAATCTACGATGCTGCGCTCAAGCTGCCTGAAGCACGACGTATTTTGCTGACGAGTATTGAGCGGGATTTCGACTGCGACACTTTCTTCCCTGTGGATTTAAAGGATGGAAAATGGGAGAGGAAGACCAGGGATGAGCTTCAGCAGTGGACGGGCGAGGAGGTTGAAGAGGGTGGACAAGAGGAGGCAGGAACCAAGTATGAGTTCCAAATGTGGGAGAAACTTGACTAGGTACCTGAGGTCGATGAGCATGAGCATGAGCATATAGGCTTGATACTTTCATTTCGTAAGACGGGATATCATCATTGAAAGGACCTGTTCATATACAGTTTTCATGACATGACTAAAGAGATATATCTACTCAACTAACTCTCCATTTCCAAGTCCTCTTCAAATAGTCTGACGTTTTCTATTCTTTCTTGTTGAAATGATAGACACATAAATATGATAATCCATGCCATTCTGCATACCTTGTCACAACTGCTACAGCCTTGTCCTTCACAGCTCTGCTGAAGGAAAACTATCTTCTGTGGCGTTTCAGCCTTGCCAGCCACAACGTGTAAAGCGAGCAGCCACAATTTCATCAGAGTCACATCGCTGAGTCAGCGCGTGAATAGCCCCTCCCATGTGTAGCGGCCACACACGAAAATCGAAAAATTCAACTTTACGGAAGGGTGCTGCAACACCATCACGAGTGCCGGTCGAATCTCCTCAGCTCTTCTTCCCCCCCGCCGGCTGATCGATCTCGGATCATCATCACCAACTCTCCTCTCTTAGTCAAGTTATATCTAGAGGAGGTTGCCCAGCATGGTATGTGACCTTCCCTTGTTCCCGTTGTTGGGACTCAAGCCCTATCTCTGTCGGGACCTTACCCCTCCTCCACACTGTCTCCGTCATGATGCTGACTTGAAGTTTTTCGATAGCCTCCTCCGCCACACCAAAAGCCCGAGAATGTTCTCAAGAGGGCTCATGAACTCATCGGCGTCGGTCAGGCCTCCGCTGCCTTGACCCTGCTGCATGAGCATATCACCAACAAGCGATCCCGAAATGTCCCCATCATGTCGCTGGAGCCCGTGATGCTCCTCCTCGTCGAGCTTTCCGTCGAACAGAAGAAGGGCAAGCTTGCCAAGGATGCTCTATACCAATACAAGAATATCTCACAGAACACAAATATTGGCACCATCGAGGTATGATTATGTACCACGGCTTCAACCGAGTCGCAAGTCGGTGTTGAGATATTTCGGCGCTAACACATTCATGTACAGTTGGTCTTGAAGAAGTTCATCGAGCTCGCTGTTGAGAAGGTCACTGCCGCTCAGAAGAAGGCCGACGAAGTCCAGGAGAGCATTGACGCTACTGCCGGCACCTCCAACATCGACGACCTCGAGGCCACCGAGACCCCCGAGTCTATCCTCCTCGCTACTGTCTCCGGCGAGCAGTCCCGAGATCGTACCGACCGAGCCATCGTCACCCCTTGGCTCAAGTTCCTCTGGGAGGCCTACCGAACTGTTCTCGACATCCTCCGAAACAATGCTCGCCTCGAGATCCTTTACCAGAGCACCGCCACACAGGCCTTTGACTTCTGCCTCAAGTACACCCGCAAGACCGAGTTCCGCCGTCTCTGCGAGCTGCTCCGCAACCATGTCCAGACCGCCGCCAAGTACTCTACTCAGATGCACGCCATCAACCTGAGCGATCCCGACACTCTGCAGCGACATCTTGAGACTCGTTTCCAGCAGCTTAACGTCGCCGTTGAACTCGAGCTTTGGCAGGAGGCTTTCCGCAGTGTTGAGGATGTCCATACTCTTCTCAACCTCAGCAAGCGACCTCCTAAGAATGTCATGATGGCCAACTACTACGAGAAGTTGACTCGAATCTTCCTTGTCGGTGGTAACCATCTCTTCCATGCTGCTGCTTGGTCCAAGTACTACACTCTTCTCCGACAGTCCTCCATTCTTGTCGCCAGTGGTCAGGGCAAGAAGGCTGATAACCCACCTGTGTCCGATGCCGAGCTTCAGAAGGCTGCCTCTTTCGTTGTGCTTTCCGCTCTGGCCATCCCTGTTATCAGCACCAGCCGATCTCGTGGTGCTATGGTTGACTTCGACGAAGCCAGGAAGACCAAGAACTCCCGTCTGACTCACCTCCTTGGCATGTCTCAAGCTCCTACTCGTGCCAGACTCTTCCGGGATGCTCTGTCCAAGTCTCTCCTCCAGCGCGCCCGCCCTGAGATTCGTGAGCTCTACGATATTCTTGAGGTTGACTTCCACCCTCTCTCCATTTGCAAGAAGATCTCCCCCATCTTGACCAAGATTGGTGCCGACTCTGAGATGGAGAAGTACATCCTTCCTCTCCAGCAGGTCATCCTTACCCGCCTGTTCCAGCAACTCTCTCAGGTTTACGAGACTGTTGACCTGTCTTTTGTTGAGAGTCTGGCCCAGTTCCCTGAGCCTTACCAGGTCACCCGCGGCACGATTGAGAAGTTTATCATGAACGGTAACAAGAAGGGTGATCTCTCCGTCCGCATGGCACATGCCACTGGCGTCTTGAGCTTCGACAACGATGTCTTTTCTTCCTCCAAGGCTAGCCACGGTGGATCTTCTGCTGGCTCTGCTGAGTCTGAGACCGGCACTGTCCAGCGTCTCCAGAGCACTCCCTCTGAGATCGTCCGCTCGCAGCTTACTCGCCTTGCCAAGTCTCTCTACACTACTTGCCACTACGTTGACCCCAACTTCAACAAAGCCCGTCTTGAGGCTCGCGAGGCTGCACTCGCCCGCGCCAAGGCCGGCGCCGAGCAGGAGCATCTCGATATCCTCTCACGAAAGGATCTCATCCAGAAACGCAAGGAGGCCGCTTCCGAGATCCAGGCCAAGAAGGATAAGGAGAGTGCCCGTCAGAAGAGACTTCGTGAGCAGGCTCTTCAGGAGGCTGAGGATCTGCGACTTCAGAATGAGCAAAAGGAGCGCGAGGCCAAGCGACTCAAGGCTGAGCACGACCGCGTCCGTAAGGAGGAACTCAAGAAGCAGATCGCTGATCTCAAGATGGGCGACAAGGGCATCGAGATCGATATGGACGATCTTGACAACTTCGACAGCAACCGCCTACGTGCTATGAAGCTTGCCCAGTTGGAGCGTGAGAAGAACGACGTGAACGAGCGTCTCCGCATCACTGGCAAGCGCCTCGATCATCTTGAACGTGCTTTCCGTAAGGAGGAATCCAAGAAGCTGTCCGAGGATTATGCCAAGCAGGTCGAGGAAGACCGCAAGATTTACGATACCGTTAAGGCGCAAAAGCTTGAGGAAGCCGAGCAAAAACATAAGGAGAGCGTTGAGCTCAAGCACCGACTTAGCCGACTGGTACCTCAGTACGAGGAGTTTCGCGACTCCCTTCACGAGCGTCGCCGTGATGAGTTTGAGAAGCGTCGTCGCGACGCCGAGCGAGAGCTTGAGAAGCAGATCACTCAACGTAAGAAGGAGGTCCGTGACCGACGTCTCCGTGAGAAGCGTGAGCGTGAGGAGAAGGAACGTGAGCTCCGCGAAGCCGAAGAGCGTGCCGCTCGTGAAAAGGAGGAGCAGCGCGTCCGCGATGAGGCTCGCAAGGAGGAGCTTGCCAAGCTCAAGGAGCAGCGAGAGAAGGAGCGTCAAGAGATGTTGGAGAAGGCTGCCCTCCAACAACGACGAGAGGAGGAGGCACTGGCCCGTCGCAAGGCCGAGAAGTCCCAGGCCCCTGGTGGCTTCTCTCGTGGACCAGAGCGCTCAGAGCCAGCCGCCGAAGGCAGAAGACCGGTGTTTGGTGCTGGCAAGTGGCGAGAGCGTGAGGCTGCTCGTGAGGGTGGTGATGCACCTCCTCCCGCTCGAGCACCTCCTGCCGAGAGGTCCGACTCCAACGACCGCTCCTCTGCTGGTGGTCCCCCCAGACTTGCCCTTTCTGGCGGTAAGCCCAGCTGGCGAGAACGCGAGGCTGCTAAGCAGGCCGGTGGTAGCGGAGCCGATACTGGATCTTCCGCCCCTCCGCCTCGCTTCGCGCCTAGAGGTGGTGCGCCACCCATGGATCGAAGCGGCTCTGGCCGCGCTGAGGATGATCGAAAGCAGTCTCCCGCTCCTCCTGCGGAGTCCCAGCCTGCGTCACGAACAGCTGGCAAGTGGGTTCCTCCTCACATGAGGAACAAATAAGTAGTTAGGGATGGCATTTGCGACTCATGGCGTTAATAGGTTTGCTTCCATGTAGGAAAAGTAGTAGTAGTCCTTATGAATCAATACAAGCGACTAAGCACACGAGAACCATGTTACGACCGTTTCCTCTTTGCAAATCAAAGTTTATGGTTATCCGAGAGTATGTTAGAATTCTTTAGGTAGATAAATAAGTTGATGACCTTTTACAACCTTTTACGAAGAAACCGAGTGCCACAGCCCGGCTAGGCCAGTTGTTTATTAGTTTACATTCCTTGTGCCTGGTCAAGTTCTCACCATGGCTTATGTGGCTGTCATGGTGGAGGGTCCTTGACAGGTAAGTCTGAACGATCCTCTGCCCTGACTAGTGAGTTATGGTCGTGTTGTTTAAGGGTCCTGGGCTTGTGTGGGTTTATGAATTACAAATGTTGGATTTTGCGAGTCAGATAGGTTAGGTTATTGCATCATATTCCAATCAAATGGAGTTGACAGCAGAAATATTTTAAAACTGCTAAAGGAAATCGAGCGGGTTGAGCTTGGTTGGTTTCATGGTAGTCTCGTCGATCGACCTCGATGTCTATAGTAGAATATGTAAGGCGAGGACCCAAGAGGCCAAGGCTCAAAAGACCTCATTCATTGCAAACTTCTATGACGAATGAAGTTATTGATCTACAATCAGAGTTTGGTTCCTGGGCCTTCGGCATCTTTAGTGAGCCTCAAATTCTCAACGGTCTATTCTGAAACTGCAAGACCATGGACGAGACCGTCGTCGAGGATGCCCGTATCCACGGTTATGGAGTCTTAGTTTAAGCATGATCAGGATAGCTGAATTGAGTGAGGTCAGCAAATATGGTCAAACTGTTGAAGCCGGTAGAGGCACTCTGGCGATGCGGCGTTATGCTTCCTTTGGTTGCCGATCTGTGATATACGAGAAGATGGGCACATCATGATTTGCACAAATGGTAGAATTCTGTTACTAAGAATGTCTGGGGTTGAGCGTCATGACTGTTCCTCGACGATCTATTTGCTTTCACAGAATATCATTAATGTTGTGTAGGTACTGCGTGTAATGGGAGGACAACCCGTGTAAGTGCCAGTGTCACGTGTGCATTGACTACTCGCTCAAAGCAACTCCATCTCTTCACCACTACTTCTTCTTTACAACTCAACACAACACAACACAATGACAGCTTTAAACTTGGTCCTCCCATAAAAGTAATTGCTACACTTTCAAGATCCTCTTGTGGCTGATCTACGCAACAAGGCCATTGTCAAAAGTTTCCTACATCATCCATCCAATCTTGTCCAAATCCGGCGATGAAGGTGACCGGCCAGACCGAACCTCAGCCATCTAGATCCCTACGGCATAGACTTTCCGATTATTGGTGCCTGACTTCTCTCCATTAAAGTCTTGGCAGGGCAAAACTGGGGAAGCTCAAGAGGTTGCAGTGGTATTGACGACCGACCAACAGGATGTCAGCAAGTGCTGGGTCCTCGGGTCAAGAGCTAAACCAAGTCATGCGGGTCTGTGGTTCATGATGGCATTACCGCGGTGTTGACACCGGAATCTTGGGTCCGATCTGGGCCCCCATAGGAACTACCCAGGAATTTGGAATGCGATCATCCGAACTTGTGTTTCGGGAAGGCGGGATCTTTCGAAGGGACCAACAAGGATCTTCTCTTCTCGAAGCTACTGAGCGAAGTCTGGCTTGACAAGTGCCCTGTCATAATACTATATCCGAGTGTATTCAACGTTGTCTCTGCTGATGACAGAATATTATACCGATAACACTTACACTGGCTTCCAGACGTCAACCAAGCGCATAACGCTTTGATGGGTCTGGGGCTCTTGCAACGCACCTGCACCCGCTTCTGCAGGAACAGACGGGAGACCTGCAGAAGCCTTGAGCGCCTCAGAAGCTATACCAAGCCGACAGTCATCGGCCATGTCTGGACCCTTGGCGTCTCCACGTGTTTCGAGCTTCAGCTTCAAACTTTGTTCTACCCATACGCTTGTGTCAGAATAGCCATCGCAGGCCTCTCGGTGCCTCGCTTGTTGGTCTAGTACCAACAACCCGGACCAAGGTGCAGGCCAGATCTTACCTACCTCATCAACTCCGCCCAACCTAACGAGAAAAGGTTCTTACCTCACTAGTGGAACTTGGATACAATCATAACACTACGGTCCTCAAGCTACTATGGTATGTGTTAGACGCTTCGTGGCGTCTGCCTACAGTTACTGGTTTGGGCAGAGCGCCTCTAGTTCCGCTATTCAGCGGGTTCATCGGCGTCTAGAGGCGTCTCTAGGTCATCGCGATGCTATTCAGAGCACTTTGATGTGGTATTGTGGTCGGTACGGGGCTTCCGGTCCCTGAGCCCATGGCTGTCGGTATGACTGTAAGTGCACAAGTTGGTAGAGGCAAAAAGCAAACAGTCCTTGATATTGCCATGGACGCAGAGGATAAATAACCTCACCCATCCCATCCCAAAGTCAGTCTTTTCTCATCATCCAACAGCAGCTTCTCAAGCAATCAGCTACTCTCACATTCTCTTCTCCCAACTCACTCTCTCTCTCTCTCTCTCGTTTCTGCCTTCGGGTATCACTCTCTTTAAATATACAGATAGCTTGCAACACCATCGAGACGCCTAACACTCACTATCACTTACAATAATCTCGGCCTTGATCTGCAACTTTCGATCCTTTCATTGAAAACAACAACAACACCATGTTCTCGCTTCGAACTGTCGTCGCCGGTGCGACTCTTGCCTTGGCCGGCATCGCTCAGGCCTGGCACACTGAGTACCCACCTTGTCTCGATCCTTTCCAGCCATATGTCGCGGCTGGATGTTACCAGGACGGTGTTGCTGGAGGCAGTGGCAGTGCGCTCATCTACCGCTCTGGTCAGAACCAGTACAACATGACTGTTGAGAAGTGTGTCGCTGAGTGCAAGGGCAACGGCTTCCGCTATGCTGGTCTCAAGTACTACGGCGTCTGCTACTGCGGTTCAACCGTCGGCGGTGCCCAGCTCGATGACAGCCAGTGCAGTTACCAATGCACTGGTGATAAGACTCAAACATGTGGCAGTGACAACGCTCTCTCTATCTGGCAGGATCCTACCTTCAAGACCACTGATCTTGGTGGTGTCGTCACCAACCTTCCCGGAGTCATCAAGTCCATTGCCGGTTACAAGCCTAGTGGCTGCTACACTGACAACTCCTCCAAGGGCCGTGCTCTGACCTGGCCTATGGATGTTGATGGTTCCAAGATGACTCCCTCGACCTGCTTGAACGCCTGTGCTGACCAGGGTTTCCCTCTCGCTGGTCTCGAGTACGGTGGCGAATGCTACTGTGGTAACGTTCTGGCCAACGACACTGTCAAGGCTAATGTTGACGACTGTAACGTCCCTTGCAACGGAGACAAGACCCTGCTTTGTGGTGGACCCAGCCGTCTGAGTGTCTACATCTCTAACGATTTGCTATCTCTCCAGCCTTGTGGTTGGACTCCATCTGGTTCTTCCTCCTCCTCTCTGTCCTCGACCTCGACCTCGACCACTTCTGCTTCTACTTCTACTTCGAGCACTTCCACTTCCACCTCAAGCGTCTCGTCTGTGTCTTCTGTCAGCTCTTCCAGCTCCAGCTCGACTACAACCTTGAGCACCATTGTCAGCTCTACCACAAACAACGGCCCCAACCCTCCTCCCTCGAGCACCAACAGTGGTCCCAACCCTCCTCCTTCCAGCACCACTAACAACGGTCCTAACCCTCCTCCTTCCAGCACCACTAACAACGGTCCTAACCCTCCTCCCTCGAGCACCAACAGTGGTCCCAACCCTCCTCCTTCCAGCACCACTAACAACGGTCCTAACCCTCCTCCTTCCAGCACCACCACCAACAATGGTCCCAACCCTCCTCCTGGAGCTACCACCACTACCTCTTGCACCACCACTATCGGCCCGGCTATGTGCACTTCTACTGTTGTCGTTCCTAACACCTGCGAGTACAAGTGCGGTAACTGGTGTGCTCCCTCTGTTCCCGACTTCCAGGACCAGAACAGCTGCCTGACTGCTTACAACAACTGTGCTAAGAACATTGCTTCTTGCTTCCAGAACGCTGGCTGGCCTGGAGTTCTCAACTGTTTCGATTTCTCCAAGTGGTGTGATGGTCTTCAGGGTTACTGTGCCTCCACTTGCTCTCGTGGTCGCAACTGTAACAAGGCTGGCTGCTTCAACAACAACGCTCCCTCCGGTGGAAACAATGTCAAGACCACCACCAGTGTTTACCCTTGTGCTGCCACTAGCACTTCCACCACTGCTTCTTCTGCCTCCACCTCGTGCGCTCCTCAGCCCACCAACATTTGCTCGCAGCCCAGCTCCCGCATCTGGGGTTACGGCCCTGGTAACCCCGTTGGCGGTATTGAGCTTCCTCTTGTTGCCTGCAACGACTTGAAAAGCGACTTCTCGCAGAACCCCTTCAAGCTGTACACGGATATCAACTCCAACTCTTGCTCTTCTTACCGTCGCAACCAGCAGTCCAGCGCCTGCGCCGACGCCTGCAAGACCCAGTACACTGCTTGTCTCAACACCTATGTCCAGAGCTGCAAGAAGCTCAACACTCGCAGCGAAGGCAGCAACTACTTCGACAAGCGCTCTCACTCTCACTTCCACAAGCGTGCCCTTGAGAAGTCTGGCATTGAGCCCCGATGGTTCAACTTGTTCGGCAACGATCAGTGGCAGACTGCTCAGACCAAGTGTGGCATCCAGTACACCGACTGTCTCGCTGAGAACAGAAATGTCTACTTCAGCAACCGTTGCCAAAACTTTGGCACTGGTATCTAAGCATCTCAAGGATATGGAGTTCCGGTGATTGGAGGTCAAAAGTGATCAAGTGTTCGGATCTGGACAATTGGATATGTATACTAGGGATTGAATGGGGAAAGGATTCGGGGTGTTGGCTTTTGATTAGTGTCTTGGGATTGGCTGGTGTTTTTGTACTTACTCACACACACTCGTTTAGTTATTGTTTACTGGTCAGACTGTCATTCGCTATAGAAGCTGTATTGTTTTGATACTCTTACTCCCCTGCGCCGTGTGAACCATAGTGATACATCCTCACCACAAACAGTACTAACAAGATACGCAATTGATATGCCATGTTCTTTCGTATAATTAAACGAGTTGTGGCATTTATGTCATCGATACCTGTTTTCCCTTAAGTTTGAGTAGTAATTTGGAATATCTAAAGGTCAAAGTTGACAACCGTTTCATTGTCGAGAGCTGTAGGGTAGATCGCGTCGGTCTGAGTTCACTGGCATTTCTATCTTTCAGCGGGTATATATAGATATGTTTATATGTTGGCAGTTCGATAAGATAAAATTGGCGTTCTGTCTCCAAATTGTTTGATGATAATAAGGTGTATAAGACTGGGTGTTATGGATGATGTTCAGTATGCTTCTCCGTCAACGACCTTTACTCACCTGGATGGTGAGAAGCTACTCATGATGACCAATATTGGAGTGCTTACTCTTATAAAGTCGGATCGACATCGTCGAATTAGTTATGATATTTTTATTTTAAATACACACGGAGAAGTATATTTGCTGAAATACCTAGAGTCACAAATTCGCTGTAAACACACAATTTGCTTTATTGGCACTGTGCAGGACACGCCAGTCTCGGACGTTGAATAAAGCACATGCTTTTCGACAACACAAACTGGTCTCTTTTCTGCCATCTTCGCCTCCATCTCACTTCAACTCACCTGTTATAAGGGGACCATGACCAAAATATTGCACCACTCGATTGACTTGGTGTCAAATATGACGCCAGCTCAATGGTGCCAGGGCTTCTTTGCCCTTTCTACAACCATCATCATTGGTATCCAAGTTCTCCCACACGACGTCCGTAGTGCTCTTATGGACTATGGTGCACGGAGGCCCAAAGACACGAAGCCTGGGAAGAAGGAGGTGGAAAACAAGGGGCAAGCTTTTGTGCCTCTGAGGTCGTTTCTGAAAAATTTGACAGAGTATGGGCAAGTGCCTCATTCGTGGTTCTTGCACTTCTACATCACGTCGGTATTCCTATCAGGTTTCTGGGCGTGGCAGTATTTCACCAAGGGGTCGGTATTGAAGAGTGTCATTACGTGGCAGGACCGAGCTGGCGGACCGTCTATGAGTTTGGAGCAAGTATTTGTGGCATGGCTGTTTATGGCCTTGCAGGGTTCAAGAAGGCTCTGCGAGAGTTTGTTCGTATTCAAGCCAGGGTCGTCACCTATGTGGTTTATCCACTGGGCTCTTGGTCTTGCGTACTACATTACAATAACCCTTGCTGTCTGGGTTGAGGGTTCCAGTACGTTCTTAAATATATTACACCTGGCAGCAGCAGAAACTGACAAATTGCAGGTGCAATCTTAGCAGCCTGGAATTCTCCCGCACAACCTCTCCGAATCCCACCAAGGTTGCCTTCAGCTCTGGCATTGTTCATTGTGGCGTACTTCAAGCAGAACCAATGTCACAGGCACCTGGCAAGTCTCAAGAAGTATACACTCCCAAGTGAGGGATGGTTCAAGTACTTGGTCTGTCCACACTACACTTCAGAATGCCTTGTGTATCTCGCCATTGCGTGGATCGCCGCACCCCAAGGTCAACTCCTCAACAGAAGCGTTCTGAGTGGTCTCGTGTTCGTGGCTGTGAACTTGGGTGCCACAGCAAAGGGGACCAAGGCATGGTATGTGCAAAAGTTTGGCGCAGAGAAGGTCGCGGAGCGATGGATCATGATCCCACCCGTCTACTAGCTCGGAGTGATCGGCCTTCAACGATTCAAGAACATGCCGAGTTTGTTTGCGATTTTCGACACCTGAATAACGTCTCGATACGTCAGACTCGTGCGGATTTTACGAACATGTGTGCCGTTGGCGTATGCATCGGGCGAATGAAGCAAGTCCCAGTTAGCAATAGTATTGGGATTGAGGTCGACATCTTCTTCGATGTCGGCAATACCGTGAAGGTAGTGGGTATACAGTTGGTCAGTCGTAATGAGCAGACTGCGAGGTTCCTGAAGGATTCTCCAAGCAGGCACGGGGTCAAGGGCGCCATCGTCCTTGCTACGATGCAAGTTCAGGCACAAGCTGGAACCGAGGCTCACTGTGCATACTACGGGCCAATACGCGGCACCATCCTATATAGGATGAGCATTAAGATAGCGAAAAGGATATACCACTTGCTGTGTACTCAACTTGTGCGGCATGATGCCAATGCCGGGTGGATATTCGTTAATGAGGACATGATTTGGCTTTTGATGTGGACTGTCGCAGAATATATGACCAGCTTCTGATTCTTTGACCGGAAGCGAAGACAATCGAGATATGACAGGATCCTGAAGCCATGTAGGAAGAGGAGCATCGAGTAGTTTGTTGTTGACAAGGTCTGAAGGCCACGTCTGAAGACGTCGTTTTGTCAACTGTTTCCATCTCGGCTTAGGCGCACTGGATATCTGTAGATATACTTAGCGGCGAACCAGACACACGATGCTATATAGACACACTTTATCTAGGATTATCTGCTCTTCTTCTTCGGTAATGAAGTTGGGTATGTAGTATGCCGTCTGAGGAAGAGAGGTGATTCGGACATGTTCTAATGAAGAGGGAAGCAAAAGACCGCTTCTATCTCCTCCAGACAAGGCAGACTCTGACGCCTCCATTATGAAATCGCTTTTATTGCGCAGGTCATGAAATACCAGGTGTTGAGCAGTTGATCAGCAGTGATGTGATTGATTCCACACGCTGAGAGTTTGATAAAGGGTAGTTGTTTTAGCTAAGATCAGCAGGTATAGAATTGTTAGGTGGCTAGAGTGGAGATACTTGGGAATTGTTAGTGGCTACTTACATCAAAATTGAGAAGCCGCAGGCAGATAGATCCTGGTCAGGGAAATTGATGAAACTTGGACCAAGGCCCAGTCAAGTCCAGCCCAGGATGTGTGTATGAGGTAGATTTAAATATGCCGCTACCCTACCCGGTACTTGCCTTATCGTAGTTATGCATATGTAGTGACTTAACAGACGCTACTTTAATGCTTTGTTATGAACTGATTCTATAAAACGTATAAATCCAATCCAATCAGATTCGAGTTCAATCATGAGGCAATGGATCAAGGTGTCATCTTCAAGTGCCTTTCATAACATGGAGCAGGGGGATTAGGGACAGGGGCTTAGGGACCGTCAGCAGCCTAAGCCCACTAAATGGGTATCACTAGCGCAGGTAGGCTTCAGTGGGTTTTGCCCCCGGAACTCAGAGTCGGAGAGTCAGATGAATAGCCCAACTTTAATGCAGCCCTCGGTGAAGATAATACATGAGTTAGGAAACGAATTTATGCTCTATGCTATATACCGCTTGACCGGGTAGGTACTTTGACTCCCGCACAGACTCAATTATCATGTCACACGCTTCAAAACAACCCATTCTTTTTCTTTTTAATGCTCATATTGAAGCCACACAATCCTTGTCTCTGATTGGCTCGAAAGTACGGTCAAAGACTCTATGTGCGACCGTATCGTAATCGCCCTAGCCTTCACACCCGGACAGACTAAAAGACAGTACGAATGAACGACATGACGGACCAATCGTACTCTTCCTTTGAGCCTGGGCCTGGCTTCTATTGCTTAGTCCTGGCCTTTCTCTCTCTCTTCCACTCTCTCGTTCTCAGTCAATCTCGCTCTCGACTCGCCTCGCCTCGTCTTGCTTTGCCTTGCCTTGCTTAGGTCGCTCACCCTCTCTCGACTTGGACAAAGACCCGTATCCTCAATTCGATTTAGGTACCTGCCTACTACCTATAGTACCTACCATAACATAACACAACACAACATAACATCCATCACGTAACTCTACCTAAAACAAGGTTTACGTTTACATCCATTATCGGTCCTCCGTCGCCAATAAGCCTCCACCTTCCAGTTCCAGTTCCAATTCCTACTCTACTCACCTTCAATCCGAAACTTACCACCCTCACACTCTCTCCATAATCCACCTACAACCAACGCCATCTTCTCATCATCACGACCTGCCGAATTAATTCTCTCGTTGCGCATAGCCTTTGGTGTTTTTCTCCGCCTTTGCTTCGTGCGTTGCGTGTCTTTTGGTCACGCCCGTGTTCTTTCGCTGTTGCCACTCTGTCGCGCCCGACCGTTGCATCCAGTTCAGTTCAGTTCAATTCTAGGTTTAAGGGGATTCACGCATCACCAACCGCGCGAGTTTATCGCCTGCCATCCTCAGCTTTGATCATCATCACCAGAATGGTGGTAGTCGCTAGTCGTCCTCGCAGGTAAATGTCATGGATGCGCAGAATGCTGCCCAGTCCGACCAGACGAGGCCTGCTGGCGACTCCCCTCATCAGCGGCCTGACTCGAAACCCGAAATCTCAAAGTCAACACCGCCGCCAGTAAGCCCCAAGCCTTCTGAGCCTATTGACAAGGATAAAGATAAGGATAAAGATTCCCGTCGAAACGCGAATTCTTCCTCTGCAGTTGATCAAGATGCTTCTGAAGACCGCGATTCTGACGCAGAAACCATCGTTTTGCCGGGCAAGGATGGCCACTCCCCGTCAAAGGCTCGGAAGGTGAGGCAAGAGGACAGGAGTGACGGTGACGGCGATGGTGATAATTCCAAGTCCTCTATCAAAGCTGCAGGCTATCGCCCCCCAGAACTTGAAAAGCAGGCATCATCTATTCATGCCCGCGGCGACCCTGTGAAAACCAAGCGCACGCCGGCTCACCCCGAACGCGAGAGGCTGGCACGGGGTAAAGACGCCGCTGCTTCCAGTGGCTTGAGCTCTGCGCCTGCGTCACCGCCCCATCATCGGCCACAACAGCGTCGACGTTTTGCCGAGGATATACAGTCCTCTTCAGACTCTGAACCTTCTCATTCCCGACCTGCCAAGTCACTCCGTGAAAAACTCAAACCAAGCGAGAATTCTGTGCCTAACAAGCGGAAAAGTCTCAAAGTTGAGTCTGATGACGAGGGCGAGAGTCGCAAAATCAGACGGCAACGAACAACCAGTGTCAGCATCGATTCGAGTCGCCTGCCAAAAGAGCACAAGCCTTTCTCAGCAAAGGCGCAGCATGATTCGCAAACCCGATCTATTTCCCCACAGTCTCGAGCCCACCGACGAAGTGCTTCTTCCCAGTTACCTTCTTACACATCCAACGGTTTTGGCCAGAAAAAGCGGCGGCTACCGCCTCCACTGCATTCAACCGAATGGCACTCCGACGATTCTTCTGCCAGTGGCAGCCCCCACCCTCGCAGCTCCAAACTACGTAGCCTGGCAACGCCCGCCACCGATACAAATGCATCCCCCGCAAGAATGGCCCCCCATAAGAAGCACCTCGATGCGCATGGTCAAACTTTCCTGGCCCGCGCCTGTGCACGAGGTGAATATGAGGGGGCCAAGACACGCCTGACCGAAAGACCCGAGGATTTAAATGTTGCTGATTACGCCGGAAATACGCCACTCCAAATTGCAGCCATTAATGGCTGCGAAGACATCGTTAAACTGCTGATTGATGCTGGATGTAATCTGGACTGTGTCAACTACGACAAGGACACGCCACTGCTGGACGCAGTCGACAACGGCCATCTAGGTGTAGTCAAGCTTTTACTGGATGCTGGTGTCAACCCCCGAAAAGCAAACGTCAACGGCGAGGAGCCCATCGACCGTGTGAGCGATGACACAGATAATGCGGAAGAGATCCGAGCCGCGCTCATGGCAGCAAGGAAGCGGGCGGGGGATCGAAGGCGCACCTCGGAAGAACAGCACTCGCACCAAGATCAGGATGTACGCGATTCTCACGCCCCAGATAGCCCGCGTCGCTCACCTGCCACGAACTCCGGATCAGGCCGGAGAACCGGAACAGTGCGCGCAACGAAGACGCGAAACGATCTACTATATATGCCCCTCGACGAAAAGACACTTCGACAGGCTGCTGGGCGTGGAGACGAAGAAACTGTCGCCCGTATCTTGCAAGTGAAAGAGGGATTTAACGACCCCGAATCCATGGTTGCTGCAGCGCGAGGTGGACATGATTTGGTTATTCAGCTACTTCTCGGCCTGGGAGGTGCTAACCCTGACCCGCGACCCGTTTACAATGCTCAACCAGAGTTTGCGACGCCAATACTCGCCGCGATCGGACAGGAAAACATCAAAGTGGTCGAGTTGCTTTTAGAGCAGGCTGGTTTCGATCCTACTAGGAGATATAAAGGCGAAACATACTACGAAATTGCACGACAGCGTGCAGGCCCGAACTGGAAGGACGAAGAGCATATGTTGAAGAATGCTTATGACGAGTACAAGAGAAGTCATAAGGACTCTGCCAAGACAAAGTCGCCAAGCCGCCGTGAGCGAGACCAAGATCGTGGTGATCGTGAAGAACGGGAAGCCAAGCGCGCACGACGGGCTGAAACTAAAGACAAAGACGAAGCTCGACAGCATAAACGAAACCTCTCCAGTCCCGAACCGAAGAAGAAGTCCGCCACCTCCAAACTCACAAGTCCAAGAGAAAAGCGGAGATCAAACTCTATTACGAATCAAGGAGATGAAAGCTCAAAGCGTGGCCCAGGGCGACCCCGAAAAGAAGACCGCATTCCATCCATCAATGTTTCCGATCGTGAAGTGTCTCCGACCATGTCTCACAAGCAACTCAAGGCCAAGCATGTTGACTCGGATGCCGCTGCTGCATCCTCAGAGGGCGAAACAGTTAAACCTAGGAGAAAACTTATTTCTAAAGGCGAGCTCCGTGGAGAACGAGACCGAGAGCGGCAGCGACGCGCTAGTATGGCATCGAACGCCTCGTCCCTCAAGGACCACCCGACAAGCCCCCACGAGTCGAAACATGAGGAACCAGCCGACAAGCATGACAAACACGACAAGAATAGGGTTGAGAAACTCTCTGAGAAATACCATGACCGAGCCAAGGCTCTCAAAAGAGACGAATCTCGGGACCGATTATCGGTGTCTGGTGACGGATCGACTAAGAGGCATCGTGCTAGCATTACACCTGATCGGCCAAGTAATGGCAATAAGGATGACAGCGAAGTCCCACCTAAACGGCGGCGTCTTGAAAGCGAAACGAAAGAGAAACGCCCGAAGCAAGCTTTGTCTTCCGATGAGAGGCCTCGCAAATCCAGCAATGTCCAAGATTCTTCCAAGTTATTAGCGAAATCAACTCACAAGAAGCATGATGATGATAGGCGTGAGAAGCGCGTTAACTCGCATCGCGCTGATACCGACCGTGCCAGCAGCGCTGAAAGACAGATCCATGTCAAGTCAGAGGAGACTGACGTGGAGATGAAAGATGCTGATTCTATCAAGGCTGTGTCAGAGTCAGAACTTCAAGCAGCTCGAGCCAAAGAGGCTAGGGAAGCTAAGGAGATTGAGCAAGAAAAGCATCGACAAGCTGAAACCGAGGCAGCCAAGAGGGAAGAATTGCGGAAGAAAGAGGACGCACGCAAGAGAGAAGAAGAACGCAAGCGGGCTGAAGCTGAAGCTGCTCAGCAACACGAAGAAGAAGCCCGAAAGAAAGTAGAGGAGGAAGAGAAGCGTAAGGAGGAGATAGCGGAGAAGGAGAGATTACGAAAGGAGGAGGAAGAGCGCGAGGCCGAGCTCAAGCGGAAGGACGAACAAGAACGCCAACGACAAGAAGACGAGAAGCAACGACGCGAAGCTGAGGAAAAGGCCCGGCAGGAGGAGGAAGAGAAACGACGGGTCGAAGTGGAAAAGAAGAAGAAGGAAGAGGAAGAGAAAAGGCAGCGTGAAGAAGCGGAGAGGTTGCATCGCGAACAACTCGAGCGAGAGGCAGCTGAAGAAGCTCGACGACAACGCGAGGAAGAGGAGCGGAAAGAACGTGAGCGGCGAGAACGTGCGCACCGCGAGGATCAAGAACGAAAACGCGCCGCGCGCGAAGCCGAACAACGACGATTACGCGAAGAGCAGGAACGCATGCGGCTCAACAAACTACCCCCTCTTCTACGATGGTTTGATACATGTCCAAACCCTAAGCTCCCAGTCCTTGCAGAGAAGTTCAAGCGCATTCAAGGCTGCCGATACGATACAATCCGAAGAGAAGCCAACGGTACGCCCGAAGGCCGTGAGCAGTGGGTGCTGAACACTCATGTGGCTCTTCTCCTCGGTGAGAAGGACCTAGACCTCTCCAGATGTAAGTCTCACGGATATAACTTCTCTTTTAATGTGCCCACTAACTAATTTCCAGATACGGCCTGGGAACGCGCCCCTGTCAGTCAACTAGCCAAGATGTCCCTTTGGCGTGTAGAGTGGCGCCTCTACTCCCTCATCGACGAGAAAGTCTGGGATCTTGGTCGGCAGCTGTCCGGATACTACGGCGAAGAGGATCCCTCTGAGCTGTGTTTTGATACGAAGCAGCGATTACGGGAAGAGGCTTGGGAGAAGTTCCGCAGCATGGACATGTTTTTCGTCAAGGTAAATAACCCATCATGAGAACGCACGATAACATTAAAACTAACACAACATAGTTGTCTGATCTCATGTATACCGTTCCCAACATTCCACATCTTCGCAATGCCCAGCTTGCGGTTGAGTACCGTGAACTCTTGGAGTCAGAAGCACAAAGCATGCAATGGGGTACATGTCAAAAATGGAAGCAAGATCCAGATGCTGCTCGTTATCATGGGCTTGCTCCTCGATGCAAGTACTATCTCAACGGAGCGCTGGTCGACGAGGATATGCCGCAGCTAGCACAGACGAGCAGCACTCCATTCCCCGATAAGAAAGTACCTCGACGCGGGTTGGTGCAAGTGTTTCCAGATGACCCAGACTATGCTCGACTCTGTTCGGAACAGGGCCTGGAGCATCTCGTCAATGGCCATCTCAGCCCGCCCCTCATCAACGGCATTCATTCTTCGCCAATCAGTCAGAAATCAATGGTGTCAGGCGGACCGCTTAACGGCACATTTAAAGCCTTGACGCCTGGCTCGACAACCGAGAGCCTGCCAGTGTCGATGGCAGGACACGATACCCTCACAAATGGTATTAACGGAAACATGAATGGGACCTCGCACTGAATCGAATGAGTTCGAAATCACGATCGAACACACCTTGTTTTATTATTGCTTTCAGTTTTCTTTGTTAGCATAACGATCATGGACGGCGCAGATACAGACTAGGGCTACGGAATGGCTTATTGCTTTTATCAACAGACCGGTGTAGTTATGTTTGTGAATCACCGGTATCTATTCACGACGGTTGGCTTGGAAGACAAAACAGGCTTGTGGAAGAGTCCAAGGTCTTGATCTAGAGTTGGATGGATGAGTAACTGAAGGGTTACGGCGGATAGCTATCCAGGCAAGTCTACGCAAGATGGATGCGTGATTGTTTTACGAAGAAGCATGACTATGATATGTGTAGAGAAGTTAGCAGAGGCTTTCTCAAGTCAAGTTAGTGAGTGGACAGCCCAGCCCTGTGCTGGAGAGGTGGTACAGAAGAAGAAATCACGAAATCGTGTAAAGCAAGGAATTATGTCATGACTACCCGTGCTTGAACTTGTGAAATTTGATGCCAACTGATTAACATCTAGCACTTTAACCCTTGTTGAGGAACAATTTTCTACCAACTTGAACAGTCTTGAGGCAACTCGTCTAGACATTTGATTGGCTGTGAAAGAATATTCTGGCTGACGTCAAGGTTTTATGGGTCACATAAAATTCTACCCCACCATTTTGACGACTCCCACTCACGCATTTACGCTTTCTTTGCAATTTATCACCAAAAGTGCCTTAATCACGAATTGGGCGACGAAACCCAACATCTGAGGCCAGACAGCACCCGAATATCGAATCTATACCGCTTCTGCGAAAGGAACCGCAATCATGGCGACCACGGTGGACAAGGTTCGTAGTCACTCCCACCGTCAATCAGACTCAAACTGCACCTGCGACGGAACAAGTTTGCTAACCCCAGTCCCCCCACCAGATCAAAGATATTGAGGCCGAAGTACGTGATACTCTGACGAAATCTCCTTCCCGACGCTTTCGGAGACGATGATAGCCGATGAATTATAATGGAGCGCATGATTGAGGGGACAGGTTCTAACTTGTGTAACTAGATGGCCAAAACCCAGAAGAACAAGGCGACGTCGTTCCATCTGGGTCAGCTGAAGGCCAAGTTGGCCAAGCTCAAGCGCGAGCTCTTGACTCCCAGCGGCGGTGGCGGCGGCGGTGGTGCTGGTTTCGATGTGGCCAGGACTGGTGTTGCCAGTATTGGCTTCATCGGTTTCCCTTCAGTAGGCAAGAGTACGCTCATGAGCAGACTGACAGGCCAGCATTCCGAGGCTGCCGCATACGAATTCACTACCCTGACCTCGGTGCCTGGTCAAGTCGTCTATAACGGTTAGTCTTTCGTGACGTCCCTTTTCTCCTCCGCTCTGCCCGACAGATGCGGCCGCCTGCTTGTCATGGCTTGATCTTGATGCCCGATCCCACTTGCAAACGGTTTCCCCATGCGTCAAACGTTGTGGCTGACTCGCATTCTCTAGGCGCCCCCTTGCAGATTATCGACCTTCCTGGTATCATTGAGGGTGCCAAGGATGGTCGTGGACGTGGTCGACAAGTCATTGCTGTCGCCAAGACTTGCCATCTAATCTTCATTGTGTTGGATGTGAACAAGCCCCTTACAGACAAGCGGGTAATCGAGGCGGAACTCGAGGGCTTTGGAATTCGCATCAACAAGGAGCCACCCAACATCACCTTCAGAAAGAAGGACAAGGGTGGCCTCAATATCACCAGCACCGTGCCCCTGACCCATATCGACCATGGTGAGATCAAGGCTGTCATGAACGAGTACCGTATCAACTCTGCGGATATCACAATCCGGTGCGACGCTACTGTCGATGACTTGATCGACATTCTTGAGGCCAAGAGTCGAAGGTAAGGCTACCAGAACTGACGCACATACATACGTCTGCGGCAAAATATGAAACTTAGCTTGCTAACGTGCTAACTTGATAGTTACATCCCCGTTGTTTACTGCCTGAACAAGATTGACTCGATCAGTATTGAAGAACTCGATCTTCTATATCGAATCCCCAACGCTGTTCCCATCAGCTCTGAGCACGGATGGAACATTGACGAGTTGATGGAGCATATGTGGGACAAGCTCAACCTTGTTCGAGTGTACACAAAACCCAAGGGCAAACAGCCTGATTACTCTCAACCCGTCGTGCTCCGGTCAACGCGCTGCACTGTGGAAGATTTTGTAAGTCTGCCTAACTCGCATTTGCGTTTCTATGCATCTTTTTGCAGAGCCTCATCTTCCGGCCTACATGCGGAATTTTGGATTGCTAATTGAGTCGGTATGTAGTGTAACGCTATTCATCGAAGTATCACGGAGGTGTTCAAGACAGCCATTGTTTATGGCAAGTCTGTCAAGCATCAGCCTCAGCGCGTGGGTCTGGCCCACGAACTATGTGATGAGGATGTTGGTAAGTTGACCCAAAGCCCCGACGACAGCTGTCGACCCCAGCAGCACCACCCTACGCGTAGACTGAGGTAGGGGGGTTAGACCAGTTGCTCTTTGAACTTGATCTACCCGATTCGGTCGGGATCTTGCTTCACTAAGCGGCCATGGCGTCCCTCATCTCAACCCTAGTCTGGTCCGTAGGGGTAGATTGCTGGGGTAAAGTTGTAACTTAGGCTCGCGGTAACGCTAATTATTGTAACAGTAACGATTGTCAAGCGATGAAAGGAAACTCTGCGGAGATTGAAGGGGATGATCCCACGGCAACGCGAGAAGCTTAGTGAGCTAGATAGCTTGGACTGCCGTTTTCGCATCAGAATGTTACCACAAGTCATGGCAGGGTCGACCACCCTCCAGTTTGCGACTCTGGTTTAGCCCGAGTGGATCAAGAGAATTAAGAGGAGGCAACCGCGCAGACCAGGGGGATGTCGATTGCAATAGGGTCAATAAAGGCAGGGCTGACACTGGATGCACGGCTACAAGCACATCTAGCTGACAAGAAATATCGACCTGGCTCAGCCAGGCACGATAATGATCGGCGCAAGTTTCCGGGGGAGGTCAGAGGTGGCGTGCCTACTCACGAGGCAGGCTGTAAGGTCTGGAGCAGGGAAGAGAAATGTTAGGTCAACGGCAGGCGACGCTGAGCAAGGAACAGACACGATTTTAAGATGACGATGGAGAGCAAGACGGAGTAACTACAGACGGGACGGAATTTTGACGAAAATCGACGTCCGAGTTAGCGACTGGGATAAAGGAAAAGCAACGAAAGCAACGCAACGTTGTTGATATTTAGCGCAATGCATTACTCTGACATAAGTAAGAGACCCGGTAGTTCACTATCCGTTGGTTCTATGGAAGAATTACTATCAGTTTGTTAAAAAAGAAAGGACATGATTTTTACCGGCGGCGGCAGCAGTCGGTAGCCGTGAATTGTAACGTCTCAACACGCTAAGATTAACATTAATTAATTAATGAATGGCACTCACTCACTCACCCACCCATGCGGCTGAAAGAAGTGTTGCCCGAGCGGAGATATTTCCAATAGGAAACTCTTTTCCAGGTTTATGCAACACTACTACAAAGAGGAAAGAAGACGTGAAAGGCCTAGGTCTATGCGTTATGACAGATAACATCATGAGGTTTATCCGTACATTACTGTACTGTACCTGTAGTTTGACAGAAGACTTATATCCATATTGGAAGAATAATTTGGCACTAGGTCTTCTTTTGAATTATCTGACGGGTTTAATATCCATCTCGACGACATGACATGGCATAGCATGCAAGAGGTTCAAGACGCCACCATCTGATGTCAACAAGCAACGGGATGCAGTGGTTCGACCTGCATAACCGAGGGCCTCTTGATCTGCGGCCGGATTTCCCAGCAGAAGCGTGGGATGCAGGCCCAGGGGTTCACGTCTGCGAATCAGGTTACGCTTTGAGGTCTTGGCCTTTGCATCAAGGCGCTTAAAGGGACGAGAGGGCACATTGCCTTTTTCCTAGGGCGGTTTAGGGCTTTCCCTGTTTTGATCCATCATGTCATGTACAGTAGAGTAGTAGTGAAAGAAGGTTTTTCCTCTGCAGTCGGTTGAGGGTGAGAGTGAGATATTTGAAACACATCTCGCAGTTTGCCAAGGTTGGGTGATACAACTCGACAAGATCGAATATGGCAATACCTTCTATTATACCTACTAGTACTGTACAGCTTCTGATCAGAAGATGCTCGGCTATTCACTGCACTGTATATACGTACTGTAACATTACAGTACAGTAGAGATTACCTTACCTTACCTTGGTCCCATCACGCTCCGTTCCGCTCTGCCCCCTCGCTAGTCTAGTTCGCATATGTACGTACTCTACTTACTGGACTTACTATGTAGTACCTAGACGGAGCGGAGTGTCCACCCGACCTGACCTACCAAGGATACTGTAAGTACCTATTGTCTCTTGATGATGGATGATGGGTGATGGCGGCGCCTAGAAACTCATCGTGAAAGGCGGAGAGCTCAAGCCTCTTTGGCGAGAAAAACGTCCCGAAGCACGCACCAGGCTTGAAGGAGGCTAGTGGGAGGTGAAGAGCCAGGGGGAGTCATCAGCAGCAGGGAAGAGAAGCACGAGCAACCAACAGAAGTCTTTTTAGGCGAAAGGTGATCTCCACAGACGATGTATAATATTGCATTCATTCATCCAATGTTGACAAGGACAAGGAAGGACATGACCATGGATATGGATATGGGTATAGACATGGTCATGGGCATCCTGGAGTACCCGTAACCGTAGGTAGGTAGGTCATACAACAGCCGGTAGAGTGGCTGCAGTACGGATACTAGAAGGGCAAAGACTTTTTGTCTGGTCCGTCTCTTTATCTTCACTGCATGGTCGCTTTTCTTTCTACTATCAGCCATGTATGTATATGCAGGGCTTAAGGGTATCTAGCTTGCGAACGATGAGCAGCAAGGTTGTCCTGGCTGTATACACGTTTAATTAGTTGCACGGACATTATCGCAGATATGTATCGACGGCACGGCTCGTAGAAAGTCTTAACAAGCAC